AACCAGAGGACTGTAAGTAACTTCAGTTTCTGATGCTATTTTTCAATTGTTTCATTTGGTATTTTAAGATTACACTGGGGTTCCAATAGCCTCAAAAATAGGTTGCTGCAGTTGTTCTGCTTAAATACAAGGTCTCTGCTCTGTACAATTTTAAGTTCCTGTTTGCAGATTTTTTTTAGCATAAGATCCTTTTACTGATGGTTTCTATCTCAAGGACCAGCCTTGTATTAGTCTTGTTTAAAAAGTCACAATATTTAATGAACGTTTTGCTAGTAGAAAGTGTTGAAGTAGAAAGACCTCTCCAAATACTTTTTAATAGAAAACGTTTATTGCATTGCAATTTGACCTTGTTTAACTGAACCCCAACTGCTTACAAAACTGAAGAGAAATAAAGGTCATGAGGAGATTCCTTATTTGTGGTGTTTGCACAAATGCCAATTAATCATCCCCAAAAGGAGGAACTCAGTTCTCTAAGTGGTGATGAGGGGAAGCTCCTTACTACTGAATTAGCAGTAGTTACTGGTGCTACAGAACTGCCTGCTTGGTTTTCCTTTCCCAACAGAGCATGGAAGGGCCTGTGGGGAAATTGCACTTGTTTAAGTGATTTAAAACTTTGTTCCCGTAAAAGCTGGGTTATGGTTGGGAGGAGTCGAAGAGAACTTGCATGCTTTTTCAGTTTCACAAGGGCAGCTGGTTTGGGGGTTTATAATCTTATAATCAGTTCCAAGTTGTGATTTTGAATTATTCTGAGCTGGTTCAGCTGTCTGAAGTTGTGTGCGTGCTTACACCGTGCCCCTGTCCCAAGGAGAGTGAGAGAGCCTAAATCATCTCTGAGACAGATGATCCAGATGTGATGAGGGCTGGGGAAGGCAGGTCTGTGGTACTGCAGCAAGGCTCCACAGCTGTTATCTGCATTTTATCTCAGCTGCCTTTGCTGTTTTGGGCCTGAAAAAGCAGGACCACCAGAGTGGCCAGGGAAGTGAAAGACAGCAGTCAGCAAGTGGTCATCTGAACAAGCCACCAGCTGTTAGGCAGGAGAAGTTCAAAGGAGAAAATCCAGCTCAGGCATTGGAATGGGCTGCCCAGGGTGGTGGTGGTGAGGCAAATGGTGGAGGTGGAGTCACCATCCCTGGAGGTATTAAGAAAACTGGATGAGGCAAATGAGGACTGTCAAAGAGGAGTGGCTGAATGAAATGAAAGATGGAGAAGGATTTTTAAATTGCAACAAACAGCAGGGAGCAGGAGCAAAGGGGTACAACCATGATGGGCAGAGTGTCCAAACTCTTGAAGGAAGCATCATAATTAAAATAGGTATGTTAAGAGGGGTGAAGTGCACAAACGGTGGGACTTCAGCTTGCATTATGTCTTTGATTATTGGATCTGTGCACTTGAAAACAGTATAAATGAAATAGCCCAAAGTAGCTTTAATATATGTGTGGAAATGAAGCTAAGTATAAAACAATATACCCATTTCTCCCTAATTTGACTCCTCTCTCAGCCTTGATTTCTGAGGTGAGCAGAGGAAGGGCTCTGCATTTGGATACCCTACTTTTTCTTTGTAATTGCTGTGACTCTACATTTGCCTCAGGGAGCCAATTATAGGGCAGAAATGAAGCATGATCAGCCTTTCATGCAGGAATTTCATCCTCCCAGAACTGAAGAGTATAAGAAGAGCACATATTAATTTCTTGCTGATGTTTCTCAAAAGTATGAGAAATGCCAGCGAACAACACACCTATGAATTGTAGTTGTAGACACAATTCATATGTCTCTGAGGCTGTTAGTGAAGGTGTGCCCTTGGCTTTAAAAAGTGGTCCTTGCTAAAGCCTCCATCGTCAGGAAGGTGCCTGTGGTGCTGGATGTGGCAGCTGACTCTAATCAGTACCTTACCACCTTTCCCCCCACTGAGGGGGGAAAAAAGGCTTTTCAATTTTAAGTGCTTTCTGTTACTCACTTAGAAAAGCACCCTACTAACTAAAATGATCTAATGATAACTGAATACCCACTCTTTTTCCAGCTAATTGATGCAAGTACTATAGGAATATTTGATACTCATTGTACCAGATGAGCACATGGCAAACTGGTGTAATACATGTCACAGGAAGAAGAGAAAGTCTAATAAGGCTGCAGCACCAGGTAACTCACAAACCATCTTCTTAAGTTCAAATATAAATGTATAGATGGACAAATCTCTCACTCCTCATCCTTTATTGCAAAAAAAAAAAAAAAAGTTTTCAGTCTGCCGTTTCTCATTCAGTTGCTCCTTAGCTAATGGCACAAGTGTAAGCGGAATAAAAATTTTCTACAGTGACAAGATTCGCCGAAGTGATGAGAATATTTCTCCAACTCAGTAGCAGCTGAACAGCAGGGGCTGCTCTCTGTCTCCAATAGTGCAGGCCAATATCAAAATATTGAATTATTTGTAGACCATGTGTTTATATGGATGAATATTTCTGGGATGCTATTTTTATCTTCAATTATGACAGAGTCAGATCCAATAACAGACGTTAAGGTAAAACTGACGTCTCACTAAAAGACCAGGAAACTCTTTAGAAGGAGACTTCCAAAAGATTCTTAAGTGTCAACAGGAAAAGGCTGTGGAGGAAGGGGATGTCAACAACTTTCCCAAATTCTTGGCTTAGAAATGGCATTTATTACAAGGTAAGAAAGGACTTACTGCTCACAGTGCCAGAGGCTACCAGTATTTGGGGGGGCAGGGGGTATGAAATAATTATTCTTGTCCATGTTTCAGGGCAGTGTATGTGTATTTCATCCTGCTCTTCAAGTGGGTGAGCCCACACAATTAGAGAGATGTGTCCTTGCCCCACAGCACTCAGGCTGAGTGTAACAGGGGATGACAGAAGGAGGTTAGAGGGAAAAGAAGACGATGATGACAGAAGCAAAGGTTTCAAAGTGCCTTTTGTTAAATGGACATTTTGGTGCAGGTCTGAGGAAGGTTTGTGAAAGAGATGTAATTTGGGCTGCAGAAAGCCTCTGCATTAAGGGAAGAAAAGGGTATACCAGTTTATAATTAATGAAATTATTTAGAAGTCATAAGAAAAACAACATTTAACGGCTTCTCAGAATCTTTTTATCATGACACTGTTAAAACACAGATGAGCCTAGTGCCTGGTTGTTTTAGGGCACCAGTACTTCCTGATAGCAATGTATTGCACATTCCTAGGAAAACCCTGCTTCTTTCAGGCATCAAGCTCTGGCATGTCAGCTGTGATCTCTGTGAACACAAAACCCCCTTGGTGTTATTTTTTGTGACAAGCACGCTGTCCTATTTACATTCTAGAGTGAACAAACAAGGAAGCATTCATTGAAATAGAAGTACTCAGAAGGAATCTTCCTTCCTCTCATTTGAGGAGGAGGGATTGGATGAGACATCCCCTCTGGGCCTGCAGTGGCTACAGAGGGGGCCAGCAATGGCAGCTGGCAGTGGCACTGCATGGAACAGAAGCACAGACCTAAGTGTAGGCAGCAGAAGGCACAAACTTGGGGGCAAAGCCTCATCACGGTACTGTCCCCAAAAGGCAACTTTTAAAGGTCCACCAATCAGATTCACCCCTCCTGCTGGAAAATAGAGCCTGTCCTTAGAGTGGCAGCAGGTATGGCCTGTTCCCTTCAGTACCCAGGAAGCACTGGCATTATTTCATTTGTTTATCAGCTTCTGACACAGTCCCAGGAGCAGCTTTGTGCTTCACTCAGAGCAAGGGCCTGGCCTTTCCCAGCAGGGCTGCCTCTGCAGTTTGAGGATGAGGTGCAGATGGATGTGGCAGTAGGTAGCCCCCAGGCTGTACAACATACCAGACTGATAAAAAGAGGGTAGAACTGGAGTATGCTGAAGTTGAAATTACTTCCTTGGGAGAGAGCTACAGCTGGGCTCGAGGCCTTCTTAGCCAACCACAGGGACATTACGCTTGAAAAACAAAGTTTTTCACACCAAGGTGATGGCAGCAGGCTGGGAACTGGCTGGTTCAGTGCCTCTGCACCCCCTGTTTAAGGCAGAACAGGGAGACACTCGTGGCAAGGAATGTGCTGCATTACCTAGTTGATTGTGTCTGAAACATGTAACTCAAGGAAAGGAGCCACTAACAAAGGGAAGGCCTTATCCATTTAACATTTTTACTAACTCAATATGAATTTAGTACTTTTGATACTATTCCTGATTGAGGTCTTCAAATGTACAGGAGGAATCTTGGCCACTTAAGGACTTGAACTGTCTATGCAGATAATTAACAAACCAAATATAGATTTTGTTGGTCTCCTGATTTCCATGATGAGTTTTTCTTGCAGTTGGTCAAAGAAGGTTCATTCAGGAAGGGCTCAGGTATCAGCCATTACACCTAGAGGTACACTCATGCCTTGCAAGACTAACCTTTCCCAAGACCTTTCTCCAAGCAATATGTCCTGGAATCCCCTAAAGCTCTGTAGTTTATGCAGATTATGTGTAGATTTCCCATCTCGGCTGTTGCAGCTGTGGCCAGTGCACACATCCACACGGCCCATGCAAGCACAATCTTGGCTGAACAACCTCAGCACAGGTTCAGCACAGGATACAGGTTCAGGGGAGGAATTCCTATGATTGCTGCAGTCAACACTTTCAGCTCAGGGCTAAACTGGATTATGAGAAAATATCTTTCTCAACACAACTAACTTATTTACATAAACCACATAAAAGGTGTTTTTTTTTCTTCTGAGAAGAAATGGCAAGAGAAGGAAGTCACAACACAGCAGCTCTTCTATAAAAATAGTAAATACATTATATAGAACTGGGGAGGGAAGTGTGTTGACTCATTTGGAGCAGATTCAGAGGTTGTGGTCTGAATTATCCTTACAAACATATCTGGCGTTGCTGCACAACTAATTTTCTATAAGTGCTGAATCAGGCATCAAAAAAAAATCTTTTAAAAGCTGACTAACAAAGCAAGTGTATGAAGTGAAAATATGCTGGTACCCATAAGAAAAGGCAAACCATCAAAAAACCAGACCAGTTAATGTCAATGTCTTTAATATAAAATCACTTTTCTTTCCCCCAAAGCAGCAGCACTGTATTTCAGGCATATTACAGTTAATCACTGAGAACATCTTCATTAAAATCTTCAAAATAATTCATAGTCCATCTCTGTACATTTTAGCTTATCAAAATGCACTGGAAAAAATACTATAATTTTCTCTTCAGCAGGTGTCACTACCACCATTTCTCAAAGAAAACACGGTTTCTAGGAACACCAATGTTAGTGAGTAGTTTGGATATAGATTCTATCATTGGAGGGGGACCACAGATGTACCATGAAGTATCATTAGACACGTGTTTCTCTAGATCCTTTTCAGATATTCTTCCCTCTGACAAAGGAAAAAAGTAGGAAATGAGAACAGAAATAGTAATCATGAAGTCACTTCAAAAATAGTGTCTGGTTAGAGGTATTTCAAGCACTCATTTCTTAAAAATGCCGGCCTGTTCCAGGATAATAGTGAGATTTAAGGCTTCCAAAACCATTTGTTTTTCTGGGGATTTAAATCAGTGCTTGTACTTGGAATGCAGAGGGTATTAGTCACTGAAGATAAACGTGGCTTACAGACAAGTACAATCCCAAATTCACATGAAAAAAATAGGTATCTCTAACACAAATACAGCAGACATGGAAACATGCTGAACTGTATCTCACAAGCAGTCAGCTCATCCTTCATCAATCCCACCTCAAGGAAAGTAAACAGCATTTGCTGAATAGTTTCTAGAATAAAGTCTGCAGTGGGAAATACCCATGTAAAGTTTAGGATTAACAGGGGAAAAAAATTGTAAAGAGAAAAGTTTTCTGCGAAGTGGAATAAGTACAGAGAAACTGTTTAATTTGCATCTCATTTTGAAGCTTTAAATGTAAAAATGCTGGGTTATTTTGCACAGCTTCATCCTGTAGGATGTAATCAAACTGGGGCTTCAGATAGGATCTCTGCAAAATGCCATGAATTTACCTGTAATGTGTGGCTGCAGTTCTTTACAGATCTGTGAGCGCTGCTGGGTGACGTGGAAACAACATGTGATCTTTCCAGGAAACGCCTTCATCAAACCAAGAATATTTTTCTGTAATGTTAAACACACTTGCTTACACCACAGGCCATTAAATCAAAGCAGATGTATGCACACAGTCCCAGAATGCCAGTCATTATTAGTGAGAACTGAGACTTTGCATTTCAGCAGTGAGAACCTGATGGGTGTGATTCCACAGGCCTGACCTGCACACATACACAGAATTCCCACACTTGGAATGTGAATACCCTGCCAGCTATGTTAGTGCTTTTCTCCTTTTCTGACATAGATTACAATCTGTAAGATTTGGACCCAAGATCCAGTTAGGTCATTTCCCACTTTCTTCCCCTTATGAATTCTCAGTATTTCTTCCTTCCACTTCCATAGGGGTTTTCCATTTAAAAAAAAACCCTGCAGTATGTATTTACCATTAGTTAAGAACTTTTGAGTCTTGTCTGGTTTATCTGATAAGGTCACTAGACCCTTTAGTGTCTCCTGTTCTCAAGTAAAACCAACTACTACGTAATGCTAATGTTATTTTTGCCAGAGTAGAAAGTATAAACTCATTTTCAGTTCCCTAAGTCACAGCTGTGGTAAGTTACCACCAAACCCCCAGTGGCTTCAGTTCAAATCAGCAAAAAAAGAATATGTTAGTCAGATGCTGTAGTTATTTCTGAAATTAAGATTTAGCTACTGCCTAGATTCTGCATCATACAGGACACTGGAAACTCTTTAAATTATTCTGAAGTAAAATAATTTCTAGGTAAATTTGCTCATTTTGTTAAGTGTTTGCTTGTTAACTAGTTACTGCACTGAGTCTGCCCTGGGTTGCTTAAAAAAAAAACAAACCCAGAAAGATTCTACTTTTTAGAAAATCTGTTCCTGAATCCCTAAAAAAAATGGGATGAAGAGCAGCACATATTGCCACTGCTGTGCAGTGTTCCACCAGCACCTTTACTATTGACTTGCTGTCTTTGTACCCCAATGCTGGTGATTCTGTAATTTGCACTAAGGATATTTCCAGTGCCTTAGCCTGTGACATGGGAGCACATCCACAGTGAGGATCAGACCCCACCGTGGCATGTCCCTTTGCCCTTGTCAGCCCAGCTGCTCCTTCAGGGACCATATCCTCCAAACCATCAGTGATAACCCAGCAGGTCCTCCTGGAGATTGTACACATCCTGTACAGATGTTTCTCACAACACCATAAAGGCTGCTAGAGATTCTACTTCCTCAATCCTCTGCACAGAAGTGAAGAATTTTGACAGCCATGCTCTGGATCTGAGGGACATGTGAAGAATGAAGGAGGGATATATTTTAAGCACTGTGCATGACACTTTTCTCTTTTGTCCCAGAAACTTTAGTGCAAAAGTTCTGCTGTTGTAAAACTGCTTAAGTGAATGCCAGGAATGTCAGTACTGGCACTGGAAAAACCTGTGCATGCTTAGAACAGACTGGAAGATCAGTAGGTGGCAAAAGGAAGAGCAGATTATTCTGCTTCTAGCAACAAACAAATGACTTTTCAAAGAAAGCAAGAATTATCTCCGTATCTAGAAACATAGAAGTACAGAAATAAAACTAGTCATGAATCCTATACACAGTTTCTGGAATCATGACAGCTCTGCATCTTACAGTCAAAAGCTTTCAATACTTAAAAAACCCATAAATCATTTTGGATGCTTCTTTACAGAAGCTGTGCTAATTTGACCCTAAGATATTGTCAATAAACCTTAATGGCAGAGTGTGACAACTCATTGTTAACTGCTGAGTAAATGTTGATGAAGTACTGCAGTAAAACAAGCAGTTTTAAAACCAGCTATAAATCCTTCATTCACACACTAGTACTTACTAGTAACTAATACAGTATCAATAAAGCTCTGCTGTTATTTTAGGAAGTATTCCTTTGGATAGAATTATTCTTTTCTAATCTTTACATTCAATTCAATACAATTTCTACTTAGACTATGTGGTTACAGTATTATAGCACTATGCAGACTGTTAGTGTGTATATACATATATATATAATATTTAATATACTATGATGCTCTTACAAGATCATAGTAAAATGCAGGAATATAGTACAATTCAGGAGTAACTGACTTACAAAATCAATGAGAGCAGATGTGTCCAGTAACAGCTTTAATTTGTACACTAGCATAAGTAGTTAACAAAACATGGGATTTGAGGCAGGAAGTGACTTTTGTCTCTGTACAGTGTCCTACACAGAAGGACTCTCTGGATTTTGGTAACATTGATATACACACTAGCAGCTGAATAGCTGAGACCTGTTTTTTTAAAAAAAACTTTTGATTTACCTTAAATAGGAGTTCACTCGTATTTTTTGCACTGTAGTACAGCTTCGCTGTTCCCAATTTGTGTCTATTTCCTTTACCCTCTTGGTATCCATGAAGATCTGCTATATGCAGCAGTATAGAAAACAATGGGTTAATTCCAACACCCCCTGCTATCAGCACTAGGTTTACTGGGGAGTCACCAGGCTGAGGATCAAAGAAGAAATCACCTCCCACTCGCAGAGCCACTTCTGAGTCAAGAGTACACTAGGATGGAAAAGAAGATATTTAATTTCAGAACTAAATGCAAAAGCTGAAATCTTATTCTTTTTGCATCCCAGTCACAAGGTTTGCTGGGCTGTGTTTTTTATTTTAATTGACCAGTGAAGGAAAAACAGAAGGACTTTAAAATATACACACACTTTCCAACTATCTGAAGTAACCCAGTATCTCTAGGGATTTAGTTGTACTTTCAAAAGTTTCAGTCTTATGGTAAGGCAGGATGGTGACTCCCCCTTCCTTTCCCCATAAGAGTTGAAAGAGGAACAATTCACACAGTTTTCCAAGAACAATATGTGGTTGTGAAAACCAAAGCTCAACATGTGAAATCACACTTCTACCCAAAACCAGCTTCATGGCAAAAAAGGCCTTCCTATAAGGTCACTGAAGGTCAAAATAAGTTGCATACACAGAAGGTTTTTCCATCTCCATTCCTTAAAATTAAAAACTACTCAGAAGTGAAACAAGTATCCACAAGAATATTTCTTGCAGAATCACTTCTCAGTTACAACTTCAGAGACTTAGAAGAAGGAAAATCAGGGGAAAATCTCTCTTACTCCCCACTTGTGTGTAAGAAATTATGTAAGAAATTCCTCAAGAAATGTGTGCAAGCATGGTTTTTTGATACATGGAAAACAAAAGCTACAGCAAAAAAAACCCACTTGGGTCAGTATCTCCTTGGTAAACCAGCACTGCATCCTGTCTGAAGGGTGAAGCTGCACTACAGAGAGGTCAGGTGAGTTCTTCCACATCACTGCATCCTGACAGAACAAATTAGAGCACTTAGGCCATATATAGGTTTTAAAAGATGAAATTAAGATAGGGAAACCAAGGAAGGTGGGAATGGAGGAGAGAAAAAGAACTGCTGAAAAATTAGCCTAGGGGATGAAAACACTTCCTCCAAAGAATTCTTTTCACAGCAGGAAACAGTAAACCAAAACAAAGGGAGTTCCATTACAAAGGCTGCACAGACAGCTAAGGTGCAAACATGTAACAATTCCACCAGGAGCAAGAAGGATGCCCTTGGATGCAGATACTGCATAGGACACATAGTACACTAAGATAGTAAGCATGGTCATTAAAAACACCCAACAACTGTCTTACTTTTCTTAATTATTGCAGAACTATTGTCTCTCAAGTCTACTGTAGGGCAATGAGCATTCATTATCTGAAACTGATTTCCCTCTTCCTTGTGATGTACACTGCCAGGCTTTCCCACCATGTTTTACTCTGGTCTAGAGAAGCACAAGTCCACATGTGTTCCAGATCCATGTGGCTTAAGGAGGACACAGAATATGGTACCCTTTGAGGAAATAAGCAGTTTTAGGGAGAAACAATCTCACATCTGCCCCCTTAACCAGCCATAGTTCCTCAAGACTGGACATGGGATTTGGGAAGAATCTCTCTTAACCAGCAGTCTTCCAGATATTTCCATGCTTTGGCCATGACAATGATAACAGTAAGTCAGTATACAAGAACAAACAGTAAAATTCTGGAGTAATACCATGAGGAAGTGTTGTCCTTTAGCCTAGTTTATAGACACAGCTCAGGCAGATCAGTGAAGCAATCGATACATCACTTGGATATTTTTTAAAGAAAAGTCTGCATCTTCCTCAAGTTATATAAAGTACATGGTGCTAAAATTTATTATTTTATATACAGTAATATTAAGAAATAAATACCTCTAAAAACACAAATAGAGTGAGTACATCAGTGCTAATTATGCCCATTGCATCTTTAACCTGAGATACCAACTTCCTTTCAAAGCAACTTTTAAACAATTAAGTACCAGTTTTGTCACCATATATATAACATTTCTGAATTCTAGGTTGCTATTTTTTTTCTGCTTGTTTCCTGAAGAAAAGCATGCACTTTTGTTTAGCTAGAAGAGTCCATGTATACCCTGGAGGTTTCTCCATGGCATCAGGTTTGATTTTGGTTACCCCTTAACTAAAGATTTATCCTATAAATTCCACCAGAAAACTCAGCAACAAAAACTTATTTACAACAGCAAAAATTCATAAATAGTTTCCAGAGACTGTGAAAAGAACAAAAGTTGACAGGACAGATCACTGATGAAACATGTGACTCATCTGACAAACTAAATGGGGTAAATGAGGAACACCATTAGGCCAAGTCTTAGACTTCACTTTTCATACAGCAAAAACTGAAGCCTTGTGTTACATCTTTATTACAAAAATACTGTGTATTTAAAAGAATACTATAGATATTCTGAAATGTTTTATCATTTCAGAAGAACTGATCTAAGTATCTTCCTTGGCTCCCCTTTAATAATCTGCATCTATCTGTGATTGTCAATGATTCCCAGTTTATATTTGCCAAAATAGTCAGGAATTATGGAAGGTTGTCAGAGGTAACTTTGTAATGCGTAACACTGCCTGTTCTCTGAAAACAGAGGTTTTTCAAAAAATCATTAATTCCAAAGGAGTGAGAATCCTTATGTACACTAACTACAATATCACTTTAAGTCCACTATAAGCAGAAGTGGTGTCAAAAGATCACAGTAATCATATTTCCATATAAACATCCAATTTCAGTCCCTTACTGAACAAAAGGTTTTAAGACTTATGTTGTTTCCAAAATGATTGAAGAAGTCAACATGAATTTTGCAGTTAATAGCACCAAATGCTCTAAAAACAAACACCACCCCCTTTACCTCAAAAAAAAAAAAAAGAGAGCAAGCTCAATCTCACAGTTAATTTCATTTACCTCAGTGTGAATCCAGTGAGCAGGAGGATGAACAGTGTGCTTTACTGCCAGCTCTAGTATTCCTTCTCGTTCTAACAGGCCAGGGCTTGAACATATTGAGAATCCCCCAACTACAGATACTCCAGGAATAAAGAAATCGACCCTAAAAATAGATCAGACACGAAAGTTTAAAAAAGAAACCAACAACCCCAAACATGGACAACAATAGCCAAAATAATGTGGCTACCTTTGTTTCAATTATCTTTCCTTTACAACATCTTCATTTCTCTAACATAACTTTTCCAAAAAGGGAGTTAACCTTGAGTAACACTATTTCCTTAGAATTATTTTCTTCTAGAACCATGTAATCATGTTTGCTAAACTAGAAGGTTTTCAAACCATTCTGATTTTAGCATCAGATGTCACATTTCACAACAGACTAGAATCCTAAGTGTTTTAAATAAATTATTTGCATATTAGAACAAAAACATAATTATGGTCTGATAGAGTAGCTTAATTCCCACTCTTTTTGGTCCCTTTGATGGGCTCTTCAATTTTCAAACGTAAGAAGATTGGCATTCTAATTTTAGGGAAATTACTTTATATTAAACACTTTATTTTCCTGGGTAGATGAAATATCTGAAATAAAACCAAGCAGTACATAAAAATTTCCCATTTGAGAAGCCCACAGCTGGCAGCAGAACTGCAGCTCCCTCTGGTGGCAGATACCGCTTTTTTAGGTTTTAGGAAATTGAACTGGAATAAATTCCTACTTTTTTTCCTTTCAGCTTAAAAGCAAACCATGCATGAGTTTGTACAGATAAGAAGGCAACATGTGGCTAAGCTTCTGCAATATCAGCCATTAGACAGTATGGAAGACAAGCCATTACTATATACAAAGTATCTATAATTCAGACTCATAAAAGGCTTTCATAAGCCTTGATGAGACTTCAAAATAATTATCAGAAAAAAATTACAAGTTGGTTTGTGATCTATCACCTGCACTCCTCTGTGTTCCCTAAATCTTTAAATGCTTCTGCTTTCTACAGCACTTAACAAAAGCACTGTATTTCACAATAAACCAAATTTCTGTAACTAGTTGTGCTGGTCCCCTTAGGAAACAATCACACTGATAAACAATGCCAGGTACTAGAGAACCATTATTCAATTCAAGCCTGGGTTAGGCTGGCTCAGTATTAGTTAAGTGAGGATGCAACAAGAAACACAGACTGACTGCTACTGCACAGGTGTTTTCTTTCAACAGCAAAGCTGTATTCTTCACAGATACCACAAATGCTTGAGAAAAGAGAACAGCACTTTGAGTAGTTCACCACTTTTTGAAGAAAAAAAATCTTGTCTGCTTACTCCACCAAAAAGTCACCCTTTGAAGAAAAAATCTCCTTCTCTCAAAGAATGCATACAGTGTGATACAATTTTTAACTTGATGCTTATAATATCTTGATGATGCATAAAGATACCTGACTGCAAAAGAATGGTCTACAACAAAAAAAAAATGGCCAGCCTATTTCAGTGTCCTCAGCTTGTGCAGCCCGGCTGCCGGTGGGGTCCAGCTTTAGTGACAGTCAGGCTCTGGCAGCTGAGATGGGTGGACTCTTGAACTGCAGCATTTATCCTGCCAAAGAACATCTCACGACGCTACTGAAGCTCTTTACCTCCCTCTGGTGGAAAATAATCTTCCTACTTAGATGAACTTAACGAAAAATATGAGAATTTGTGCTGTAAAGTCACAATTGACATTCAAGTCAGATGTTCTCCTTGGCATGTAAGGGAAACCTTATCCATGCCTGGTGGGGAAACACACAAATATGATTGCAAAACCTACATCAAACATGGTTTTTACCTTTTCCAAATACTAATGCAGATGTATTTTTTTCCCCAAGTACGTAACTATGAGAGATTTCAAGGCACAGTTTACTATCTTGTGGTGGACTAGCTCTGATGGCTTTTCTCAGCCATGTCAGGGAGGGCGAGAGGGCTCCTGAAGAAATGCTGCCTGTGACAGCCTAAGAGAAAAGACCAGCAGAAGGGAAGAAAGTGAAGAAAACCCACAACAAGGAGAGGTACAAATAGATGTAAACTAGATATCTCAGGGTGTTTTTTTACTTCCCTCTTTTTAAAATCCACCTAAACCGTATCTTTAAGAAATGAGTAATAATTACCCATTGCTGGAGTGAGAGATCAGAAACACTAAAACCATAAAGCTACTTCTTCACAGTATGTGCAACATGCATATACCTCAATGCATGTTTAGTAAATCAAAAGGTGTAACAGCAACAAGTCTCTTCATTATTATTTGAAGTCAGATAAAGACCAGCCAGTATCTGCCAAAGTGCTTACAAAACAAATTCACTTTTGCTTCTGAAAAACTCAGTAATTAGAACACTTTCAGGAAATGTAAACATTTCAGTGGCAATCTTTGACTGTAACATCTTACTATAGCAAATCCTAACAAGTTAGCTTTTTCTACTCAGGAAAATGTGTTGCTCACCAAAATTGCAACCTCAGTTTATAGATACAAGTACAGAGAAGTTGGTGTGTACCTTACAAAACAGCATTAGAACACTTTCAAGGAAGAAGAAAATGAAGAAGAGTAATTATAATTAAAGCTTTCAGTTTCCACATGATAATTTCAAAAACATTTTTGGAGGGTAAATGTATGTTGCAAGTACTGGCAAGCAAGAATTTAATATGAGTCACTGAACATGTGCAAAAACTGCAGCAAATTACTTCACAAACAAATTATTGCTAATCAGCATCTTGTGTTCTGGTTCTAAATTTAAAAGCCAGCATATTAACACTCCATGAGTAACATATGCTGCTAGTATCCTAGCAGCTATACTTTGATTTCAGCAAAACCACTTTCAGATGGCCAAAGCCAATAAAAAGTTTAAGAACATACAAATGTCCATTGCCAAAAGCAGCTACTCCTAGTTTTAAATTAATTTCTAAGAGAAAAAAAAGTTACTGAGTGAGAGTATTTTAAACAAGGAAGGAAGACAAACATGAAAATCCACTACTGCCCTGGGAAAAAAAACCAAACCTGTAAAATTGTTTAAACAAACAGCTAATTGTTTCAAAGGCTTAATAATTCAAAGTTTTTATTTTCAAATTTGTCTCTTTACATTAATATATTAATCTGATGCAACAGGCTTCATTTTCAAAGTGGAAACTTCAAGGGGATGAAATAAACCAAAACTAAGTAACTTGCAAATTAGCAGTCTCAGCTCCGCTGTAAAAATAACTAGTAAATAAAAACAGCCTGCAGAACAAAGTGCAGTGAACTTCAAAGTACTCCTGAAGAAACAATGTAATATAATAAACCACAGGAAAACACCAAAACACTATAACTGAACATTTAAAGAATATTCACTTCTGCCCTTTTGATAGTAATATTAGCATTTTTTATAATGACTGTTTAAACATTATGCCAAATATCAGCTCTTTGACAGAGCATCCAATAAGAAAACATAATATTATATAAATGAACAACTTTTTCCAAGGCTCAAGGATCAGAAACCTTTCATCACTTTGTTATAGTGGACTTTTCCTAGTAATTTCCCCTTCAAATACACCAGATCTTACCATTGTCCTGCTTTGAAAGTAAAATCCTTATTTGCAATTGCCAAACGAAGCCTTTTGACTGTCTCTGATTCATTGGTGATTCCACACACTTTTGCTTGTGTAATTACCTAGCAAAAGGAAAAGAAGCCATTGTGATATGTAGATATAATTTGCAGCAAAAGCACTCAAGAAGCTTTTGTGCATGAGACATCCATCACTTCCCCATGTTACCCATGGCATTTCATTACCTACAGCATCAATATTTTTCACTGAGGTGAGGAAACAAAAATGGACTATATCCCTAGAAGTGTTCAAGGCTAGGCTGGATGGGGCCCTACACAACCTGGCTTAGTGAAAGGTGTCTCTGCCCATGGCAGGGGGTTGGAATTGCATGATCTTTAAGGTCCCTTCAAGCCCAAACCATTCTATGATTCACTTAAATAGTCATTGAATGGAGAACAGTGTTTGTACTTGCAGTCCGCCATGTCTGTCTCTTTTTCTAAGATTATAGATATACAAAGTTACTTTATTTCAGCTGAAGAGAAGATAGCTATAAAGAGATAGCTAGTTATCACTGATCAGGTTTTTCACACATCTATAAAAGACACACACTCCTGCATCCTCCAGCAACAAAGTAAAAAGATCTCTTTTTATATAAAGACAAAGGATACTTGTAAAAAATCAGTTGCAGGTGAAGTCCCAGGGACAATTAATTTAAGTAATTAAATTATGCATTAATGTTAATGAATCAATAAAAGAAAACCAACAAGCCTTGTGTTACTGCATTTACCCCCTACACCCCGATATGACCACAGGGAAACCAAGACACAAGGTCTCATGGCTGGTTAACAGAGCAGATTTTGTTTGGCAGCCACATGGGAGGGGATGTCAGAGCCACAGTTAATACTACTTTTAAGGCGTTTAAAAAAAAGATGAAAAATGAAAAGCAGACTTTGCAAAAAGACCCATTGTGGATGAGTACCCCACTTAAATTCTTTGATGCCCATCAGTGCAACATGGATTTTCATCCCCTTCCTACCCTTCCTTTTCAGGTTTTTTTGGACTATAATTATTAACCTTTTTTCCTCTACAAAGAAAGCAATGCCCTAAGTATTTTCTACATAGAGCACTACACAGATTTTACTGTTAAAAATGCTGATGTCACTTACCACACAAGGAAATACTCAAAATACCACCACAACTCTACCATTTATCATTTGTCTAAGATCAAACAGATAAAAAAAATTTAAGCAACTATGCTGTAATTTAAAACATATGTCAGGAAATTAATTTATTCTTAAAGTAACATCTGAACACGTTCCCTGTCCCATTAAACAGCAGGACATTTGCTAATTTAAACTTAAGTAGCATGGATTCCTGTTCCACTTTAGCAGACAGTATTAAATGAGGAATGCAGTCAGTCAAAGTTAACAAGAGAAATGTCAGATACATGACTTCAATGGTTGTTCTGATGGAGGAGTGCAGGAAAAGGACATTAAATTTGGACTTCTTAAGTCCCTCCTTTACTCTTCAGTACCCTCCTTAATTTGTTATTTGGCTGAGAGAGCTACAAGAGTACTGGAAATTTAATTCTTAATTGGTATAAAGTTCTTTCAAAAATTAAATTAGAGTCAGGGTGATCAAAGACATTCAGCCAGTACTTTGGACTATCACCAGGGTACCCAACTGGTCAAAGCAAGGCTGCAGTGAGACGAGGGCACAAGACTGGATTTAGCAGCTGTATTTCAAGAAAGCATTTGTCACTTTTCCTTGCGCTGGTCCTTCACATTATCACTCTTCAACAGGCAATGTTCTGTAGCATTCACACTAATGTAACACAGATTTAGGATTCTTTCATCCTTTACAGGACTGAAATGGCCAAATAAGGCAATATTGGCTGAGGGAAACCAACTGCTGATTTTACGGAATTTAAAACCAAGCAGAGGATTTAAAGTAAACTGATTTTAAAGTGGGTAGAAATAAAGCAACAAAGAATAAATCAAGCATTAAAAAACAAACAGCATAATCCTCTGATATGCAGAGAATGTGCAGTAGCAAGAACTGAGCCCTGATCTTTCACCTATCTCATACAGCTTCCTTTTCTTTCTTGTGCCTTACAGTTCCCTGCACCAACCCTGAGCTTCCAACACCTCACAAGGATCCATTTTCCACGAATTTTTCCAGGTACTGACACTGAGCAGAGAAAGGAAGCAAGCCAAACAATAAATATTAAAAAACCCCATGGTTGCAACACTCAAAAGTGCCATAATTTTTTTCATGTCAGAAGCAAAGGACAACATGCATTGGTCTGTGCCTGTCTCTACATCCATTTTCTCAGGTAAAACAGGATCCACAAGAGCAGCTGGATGTCCACAAGCAGCACTGATCTGTACTCAGGGAAGAGCTGGCATTAGGTGTGAACAGCTGAGCTAAGTGGTTCCAAAAGCTGGCTCACAGCTCTGGTGCTGCATTTGTCTCATGCATCTACAGCCCAGGTCAGACAGTGCTGAATCTTCTCTCTCGGGGGTTACCTACATATCCCCTGCTCCCAGCTTCCTCTTGGGAAGAAGGTGATTTATTCTCCACTATAGTTAGGGAAAAACAGCAGAGAAGGACTTCATGTACACAGGCTGACAGATGTGTGGTGTGTGTGCATCTACTTTAGCTTATTACAGAAAGGAAATATCTTGTATGAAGTACAAGAGTATGTTTCCCTCTGAACATAATGAAAAAGAATGCTTGCTGCTCAAAACTGAGATCCAGAATAAGCACTTCTGGATTTGATGGAGAACAATGCTATATCTTCCTTGTATTTATGAATTAAATTAGATAAAATTGAAGATCTTTTATCATTTTTCCCTTCAAAATGTCTACAATTTTTGCCTTACTCCTATGTTATAAAAGGACATTTTCCACATTTTAAAATCTCAAACCTGAACCAGAATTGCAGAAATCCATAAAAATCTGAGAAGTCCGTTTAGAGATGAGGGGTATCCATGTACTTTTGCTATGCATAACTTACTATAATGCATCGTTGGCCAGAAATGTATTAAGCTTCTTGTCCAACATAAAGTAAACAGCATCATATCACTGAATAACTTTAAAACTCATTACATTTCACCCATTGAGCACTAAATATGCTAATTTTATACCAGTAACAAATATAAAAGATTAGGAGAAAAAGAAGAAAACCAGACTCCGGCAGAAGGCAAAATGGAGCCTAAGAATCAAATACTGTTATCCAGTATAATTATCTTTGCAGCAAAAAAAAAAATAATTACTTACATCCTAGAGAACAGAACACTAACCTCCTGTCGAAAATTATTTGCTGTCCTCTCTAGATGATCCATTTTCCTTTTTGATTTTATTGTGCTGCAAGAAAAAGCAAACAAAGATAATTGTCATTTTGACAGCTGTGCTACTGTCCCTTACTGATATGAATTTCTATTAGCATAACAATTTACCAGTGTAATCCAGACTACTGATGACATAAATCTAAATAAGAATTAAATACAAATATATAATTGGGAGTTACATTAAGCATTTATAGGTCTGTAGTAATTTGTCAGTTTGATTTTGACGTTACCATGGCATTCTCTTAAAAAAACCAAGGAGGTGGATAACCTACCCGTTCCCTGTGCAGTAACAAAAAGCAGAGTGTCTCAACACCCCCAGTGGAGAATGAGAGGGAAAAATTCTGCTCTGAGCACCTCTCAGTAATTGAGGAATGGTGCAACCCACATAAATAGTAGCATGAGCCATGATGATCAGGCAGTCTTCGGAATCACTGGTTCCTGAAAAAAAAAATCGTTAATATTTGTTAAATGAAGCATTCAGTGTTTGAAATGGCTTGTTTCCAGCTTTTATTTCCCTTAAATCAGAAAAGCCAAAGCTTAGCTGGAGCTAAAACTTGCAACAAATATAATGAGAGGGAATTTTAAAAGCATGAAAGTTTCATAAACAAGTGAAAATGTGCATTCTTCAAGTGAAGGGATGTTATGCCCACTCCTAAAGGTGAGGGTAACTGAGGTTCTTGTTAATACATTCCCTGGGGCAGATTAGAGTGAAATGACACTGAATGACCAGTGTTTATTTATACATACATATATGCATATATTTATATATATACATACGTGTATAAAACAGGTTTGTTTTAGAACAATTTGGTTGCAATGAAAATGAGGTACAGAGCCCTTTTAGTTATTATCTATAGAAATTAAACAATATAAAACTATAAAATAACCATTTAAGAAAATATATAAGGAAAAGAAAGGAAGAGAAAGAAAGGATAAGAGAAGATAGTGGAAAGATATCACCAACCATTAATCCAGTGACAAGAACTGACTCTTGCAATTTCACTTAGTCAAAGTGATGGCTGGGCATTTGATCCATCAGGGGTGAGGGAAGACCATGAAATACAGATTTCAATGGGTTCAGTATATTCAGGTTCAGGTGGGGACTCCCAGGCTCCTCCCTGGGGGGAGTTTTACACTGTCTGTTCCAACACTGGGGATCATGCACAAGGCAAAGACCTTGTCAGAGATGATATGGAAAAGGCTGAAGTACTCAGCATTCCCTTTGCCTCAGTCTTTACAGGCAAAGTCTGCACCCAGACCTCTGCTTGTACCAGTGGTAGTTAGGAAGGAGAGGGATAAGTAGGAGCAGGGCCAGCACCAGCTGAGAGACACTGGATGCACTCAAATGCACAGAGCCAGATGGGTTACACTCAAGGTTGCTAAGAGACACAGCTGACATGCTTGTCAAGCAAGTATCTATTACCTATGAAAAACATCTATCACACAGTCTCCAACTGACTGGGAAAAGACTTACACATGCTCATTTTTAAGAGAGGCAAAAGCAGTGCTTACATCGAGTCAGCACCATCTCAGTATCTGGAAAAATGCTCAGAGCTTGTCCCCTTAGCTGGGTGAAAGCTTAGAAAGCAATCAGGAAGATGTGACTCAGACTTACCAGGGGAAGGTCACATTTCATAAATCCAAACAGCTACCGTGATGAAAGGTCTGGTCACACAGCTAAGGGGACAGGATACAGCACACCTTGAGTGTCCTGTGGCTCCTGAAGCACACACACCAGACCAGATGGATGGTTGGAGTGGCTGAAAACTTATCTGGGCAGACAGAATTGAAGACTTGATGGCTTCAAGTTTGTTTCACTTGTTGGCTAAAACCGTAGGAGTACCCTGGGGCTGATACAGGTCAATATATTTATCACTACCTTGGATGATGAGGCAGAAGGTATCCCTGTTCATGGCATGGTTGTTGGAACTGGATGATCTTTGAGGTCCCCTCTGGGCCATTCTATGATCAGCAAACTTGTGGATGATACTAGGTCAGAATAGTAGAGCTCCCCTTCAAAAGGGAACTGAGAAACTGCAGGCTGGAAAGCAGAAACCTAATGACAGAGGTCTACACCTGGGACTGGCTTAATCCAGTGTGAACAACTGTCCAGCTCCAAGCACAAATTCTCACTGGTTGATGCTCAGAAGTGCCTTCCAGCCAACATATCTGTGATTTTAAATGTTCAAACAATAATCATGTATGAAAGATCAAACACTGACTGTCCATTCCCTTTCTAGTGGTAAAGAAAAGGTTCTGGGTGGAGAATTTTATAAACTTTAATTAAGCCTGTTTGTTCACAGGTTTATTTAAAAGCACATGAATCCCTCACACTTCTGTGTACCCTACATAATACACCTCTAAAGAGTAAATAAAGTGGAGGATTCTCATATTCACTGCAGTGGAAACACAGTGGGAAGCTTCAAAACCACACTTTCAAACAGCTGTGACAGAGAAAGCTAAACTGATATGCACAACATTCAAGGTTAGTCAGAACAACCCTTCAAGTGTAGGAACAGGTTCATAGAGAGCCAAGAGATATTTCTCATTCCTTGTAAATCTGCCTTTATTTTTCCTAAAATGGATTAGCATAACTCTCTATCATATACCATCACCTATCAAATTATATTTATCCCCATGATGCAGTCCATTGCTTCTTTAAAGCATTAATATTTTACTTTAATTTAAATATCTTTCCATGCATTCTTTTAAGGCGTGCAATTTATTTTCAAAATGTTTTGCATTTCTAATCCCTTGAAATGGCACTGATCCAGCTTGCTGATAACTAATCAGGCCAGTACTCTCTAGGATTTCACTAACAGCTGCACTGGATGGTCACTTAGTAATCTGTCCTGTTTGTAGTCTTGTATGAATGAAGCAGAGCTGCCATAAATTAGGCTGCTCAAAAATGGAATACATTTACAGTTACTACTCAAAATGCCCATTTTCAAGCATAAAAATTACTTCCTGCAGCTTTTAACTGTCCATAATTTTTAATAGTTTTTCAGCATTTAATTCCACAGCAGCTTGCAACTTTTAAAAATTGAATTATTGAAAAGTCTCCTACCCCCAGTGAGCAAAATTACTTCAGAATTTTTTTCCACAGCATCACAGAGTGCTTAAAGTATACTTAAGTGTTTAAGCAAAACACTTTAGTATTTTCTGCATCAAATGTGTAGACGCTATTGACAACAATCTCAAAATATTTTAGGACAACAAAATACACATCTAATGAAGCCCCATTCTTCTACCTTGGCATATTATCTGTAAACCCAGAGTGCTCAAAAATCAGTTTCTCGAATTGATGAGATCACTTTATGATCTGGAATCTTTCATATGGTACATCATGGTAATAGACATCTACACCTCCAACCAACCTGAAGTTCAATATCGATACATAATACTGGAAACAAAAGAAATGTTAGCCTAATGTTATAGTCACAGCTGAAGGACCCTGTTGATACAACTGCTTGAAGGCTGAGTCTCTATCCTAAATTAGAAATAATTCAAACCATAGTTCAAGAAACTTGCTCCATTTATATTATCATCATTTTCCAATCATGAAAAACACGATAAAAATAATTTGCAATTTTTACTCTGCAACCAATGAATTCTTAAAATGCCTTTTAATGAGTCCTGGTTCTCCCCTACCACACAGAAGTGTGACTCATGCCTTTACAAAATGTGAACAGCTTTTCCCCGATCCGTCACCTCTGGGATTTTTTTTCACTCATCCAGCTCTTTGGCAATTCCCTGCCCTCCATGAAAGCACTGTGCTTCAGCTTCTCAGGCTCCTGTCAGGTGGGATGCTCTCCCTTTATTCTCATCTTACCCAAGGCAGTAGAGGAACAGCCATTCCAAATATCCTCTTTTTTCTCAGAAGTTGGAAGGGGCCATAGTGGGTCATATGGTCCAACCTCCCTGCTCAAGCAGGGCCATTTGAGAGAGTACAGTGCACAAGACTGCCCAGAGGTACTGGAGGCTCTCTCACTGGAGACATTCCAGAACCATCTGGGTGCAATCTATTCCAGTGCCTGGTCACTCACACAATAAAGAAGTTCTTCCTCACATTCAGGTGGAGCTTCCTGATCAGTTTCTGTTCATTGCCTCTTGTCCTAGTGGTTGGCACCCCCAAGAAGAGCCTGACTCCATCCTCTTGACACCCACCCTTAACATATTTTTATAAACCTCCTTTGCTCCACGGAATGAAACAAGCACTGCTTTTCTTAACTTCTCTCCTCACTTAAAACCAACGAGCCATTCATTCTCCATTCCCTCTGATCCACTGGCCCTGGGTTAGTATCTTTTGAGATGTATGTCTGCATCTCTTCTGTCCCACAATCCCATGTCACTATCTGAAGGGAGTTCGCTACCTGAACTTTTAGTTCACCCGCATCGCACTTAAGTGCAAACTACGAGGTAGGCTAATGCAAGAGAGTGCAGAGGGGGACAGCAAGGGTACTGAAGCAAGCGGCACAGGAAGCCCTTTTTCAAAAGCTATCTCTCAGTAAAACACTCCTTTAGACAAACAGTCCTTCCTGCAAAAGTAATCAAAGAAAACAAAGTTTTTCCCCTCTTCCCAGGACCGAGGGGAACACGGTGAGCGCTGGGAGGAGGCGGTGCGGCGGGGAAGAGGCGGCGGCAGCCCGTGCCCAGCCGGGGCGGGGCGGCACTGAGGCGGCCAAGGGGCAGGGGAAGCACACGGCTACGGGGCAGGGCAGGGACAAGGGCAAGTGGCAGGGGAGGGACCAGGACAAGGTCGTAGCAGGGCCCGACCGTCCCCCCGCAGCCCCCGGGATCGCCGGGCAAGACGCCAGGGCTGGAACCGGCAGCGCCATCGGCCGCAGAGGGCGGCCCGGCCACCGCTTCCGACCGGCGTGCGGGGCTCCCGCCGTGAGGAAAGGGCGAGCCAGGAGGACGCGAACGCGCTGCCCCTCAGCCCGCCGCCCCTCACCCTCCTGTCCCCCCACTCCCTCCTCCCCAGGCGGACCCTCGCTGCCATCCCGGGATCCCCGGCCCGCTCCCCTCCACCCCTACCCGCCGCCGCATCACGTCACGGGCAGTGCCGCCCTCGTGCCCCGTCAGGCGCCGCCTCTTCCCGTCCGGCCCGGCCCGGCTCCGCCGCTCCCCGGCGGCATGGCCGTGTTCCACGACGAGGTGGAGATCGAGGACTTTGAGTACGACGAGGAGACCGGGACCTACAGCTACCCGTGCCCCTGCGGGGACCGATTCCTCATCACGCGGGTGAGGGGCGGGCGGGCAGGGCTGGGGGGAGAACGGGGTGCTGCGGCCCGGGGGCCGGGCAGGCGGCGGGGCCTGACCGCTCTCCCGGCCTTTTGCAGGAGGACCTGGAGAACGGCGAGGACGTGGCCACCTGCCCCAGCTGCTCCCTGATCCTGCGCGTCATTTACGACCAGGTGGGTGCTGAAGGGAGGGCAGGCGGACGCGGTTCCAGCCGGGTCCCTCCGAGTCCCGTGCGGGAAGCGCGGGGCAGCGTTAAAAAATGCCTGGTTTGGAGCCACATCTGCTGCCTGGTCTCTCGTTTTTCTGCTCTCCTCCTGCCGTGTTTGGGCTTAAAAAGACGCCTCTGCCTGGGTGGGCGTGGGGTAGGATACAGGCGGGATGAAATCAGTGATGTGAAGAACTCTTGTGGCCGACTCCAGCAGCCCTGGCAGCTCTTCTCACCTCGTAGGCGCGTTGCGACTTTTGTGTTTTGGGGACTGATTCATGCTATAATCGCTCGGTTTTCTGGCCTGGGTGTATGTTGTGGTGTTTGTGAGGTAGAGGAGATCCAAAAACAATGTTAATCGCCTAAATCCCTGCTTGCTGTCTTTAGGAGCAGTTCATGCGGGATGAAGTCGTGGCAGAACCTTTGCCAAACAAGGAATTGGTCAAGTGCTGATGAATGCATCGTGGACTGTGCTGCTTTGGGATGAGAAAGTATGGGGATGGTGACTGCGGAAAGAGTTGTGGTTCTTCGGGAAGTGCGTGTTGCTGTGGGATACAAGTGCAATAATTGTCTGTCTTCTTAACAAGAATCAGAGTTTGCTGGGACATTAAACACATGAATGTGTTTTGTTCCAAAGGGTTATACTTAAAATATATAAAGTTGCTCTATGTATTCCCGAAGACTTGAGGATTATGTTCCTGATTAAGCCAATACACAGAAGAAGAGTGTGGAGTCAGGAAATGATAACATTTAGTCTAGCAGTGGCTTCTTAGCTTGTGGAGAAAAACTGGTTTTATGGTATATGGGTATATGCAAGTGTGAAATGTCACAGAGCTGAAATGTTGGGAGGGGAGGTTTAGGAATCCACAGAACACGATGCCATACAGAGTTAACACAGTGCAGCTTCTCCCAGCTTGTGGGCTCCTGTGCTTCTAGCCCATACTGAATATGGGGAGAAAACAAGAGACACGGAGCCAACATTTACCCAGTGTTGGTAAATTGTGTGTTGGTAAATTGACTTTACTCCTGTAAACACGGGGAAGTTGCATTGTATGTGTATCTGCAGTGGGGGCAACACTTGAATTTGGGCAGATTTGTTTCTTAAATTGCTTCTAAAGTTCCTTTGAATGAAATTTGGTAGTTGTTACCAAATGACTCTGACATAACAGTGATACACATTTGAGGGTGTTGTGTGAAATGGAGTCAGCCTTTTTTTTAACCCCTGCACAGCTGCTAAGGTGCAGGACTGGAACTTGAAGTGGGTTGTATTTTACCCCTATATTCTCAACAACTTTGTAATTTGACTGTTGCAGTAGATATAAAATGGGCTGCAGTTCTTTGTGCCATTTGTAGTAAATTTCTCAGCCCTTCTTTATTAGATTCTGTCACTTCCTGGATAGGAGATTGATACATTTCCCTTAATTAATAAAGACATTTTTTAGGGTAGAATAGTCATGAGAACACACTCCATATTGATTCCAAGACTGCCTCTTGAATTACAAGCAACTGCACTTGAATATTTACTTAAAATTGTCGTAATTCCTGTGTTTTAATAGGATTTGACATCTGTGAAGTTAAATTTGGGGAAAAGTACCTGTGAAGAGCTTATGTAGCTATTTTGCTCCAGGCACTAAAGATAAGCAAATTTTATTGGATTTTTGCATTTAGTTATTTCTGTTCTTACAGCATTCTGTGAATGTTGAAGATGAACATTCTAGTGACTTTAAGAAAAGAAGAGAACAAAAAAAACCCTACATCTAGTTGGAAGTTTGGAATGCAGTAAGCACAACCCAGAGTGCTTCCATGCCTAAACCAGGAGGTGGCACTCATGTTCCTTTGATACGTGCTTAAAAAAGTAAATGTTGTGGTACTTTGGTTAGCTATGCCTTATCAAATATTTATTTTGACTATTTAAATAAAGATGTTTAAGATTCCATCACTGGTTATAATGGGCCATTACTTATTCTGTTTCTGCACCAGCCCTGATGATTTCCAGAGGTCTTGAGTTGCTGCTGTTGGGTGATGGTAGTGGAGGTTTTTCAGGTTGGTTAATAAAAATAATTTCAATCTTTCAGTAGACGCTGTAAATCAAACTTACAGGAACCCTACCTAAGCCCCTGTTCAAATTTCTACTGCATAAATACCTTCATGATTTTTCCACAAGTATTCTACATAAAAGGAATTGTAGCAATTTTCAAATGCAAGACCAGGGAATGTGTGCTCTGATCTAATGTATTAAAGTAAGTTGCCATGTGTATCATCTCTAAAAGTACACAGATTTTGCAGAAATCATTGACCTGATTTTGTTATATAATGAAGGTCAGGCCCTTTCTGACGTAGGAAACTTGTGTGGAGAATTATTTGTACTTTATATGGTTAAATTCCAACATGGTTGTAAAAAGCATTTATCAATTAACTTTTACTTGGCATGTAACAAGTAAACATGGCATGTAACAGGTTTTTAATTGATTCTTAGTGTTTCCCACTCATCTGAAATACAGCTAATGCCTTTTCAAAAAGTAATTTTAGCAGAATTAATTTCATTACATCAATAGGGGCTGTCAGGGCTTGAAGTTTCTTACCTGGTGTGAATAGGGTCCAAGTTGTGGAATGCAATTTACATGCACATAAAAATTACTTGATCACGTGGTGTATGTATGTAAAGCTTTAACAAAGTGTGTTTGCATACCTCTGTGGTTTTTATTGTGTACTTATGCATAACAACAGAAAGATGTGGCTGCCTTAGGAAAGGATGTGGCCACACTTGCCCACTTAAATGACTTCCAACTCTTGTCTCATTGCAGGATCTCAAGACAATAGTTGACATCCCCTCCAAAAAGGAGGCAAAACAACGATGGGTATCATGTTTCTCTCTTTTTGTTGCCCTTTGGGAATCTGAGAGACATTTAAAAACTGTTGAGCTGTTCTGTTGTTTTCCCTTCTGTTCTGCAGAGATGAGTTCTGCAGCAAGAGTTCATCCTTCATGAAAGCTCAGCAATGCTGAAGCTAAAGTGTTGCCCGCTTTTGTCTTTTGTTAACTTGCAAGAAGCTTTTGATTCCAATGATTGCAGTCATCTTTTAAAAATATTCTTTCATACTGTGTCATTTCAGAGCACCAGTCAGGGCAGTGTGAGTAACCCATCAGAAATGTCCCTTGTCAGGAATTCAGTCACAAGGTTTCCCCACAGCACCACAGGCTCTGGCCCGCCATGCATTACTTGTGTGTTACTTGCTCTTACAAACCAATAGCTCACTTTTTTTTCTCAAAAGGCAATTGTGTAGGACACAAAGAAGTCTTGTTTGCTGCTTGTATCTGACAAGCAGATTGATTGATTATGTGTTTGATTAGGTCCGTGGGTCTGCACAGAGGAGGCCAGTGTGGTGAAAACAGCATCACGTGAATGTTAATGGAATAATTCATACTTGGTAGAGACTAGAGAGGGTGAAATAATTTATGGGCAGTTTCAGATACTCAAGCTGTGAAATTTCTCATACTGTTGAACAACTCTGAACTCCTGTGTAACACTGAGAACAAGCAATACACTCTGTTGCCACAATTTTATGGGAAGAAATGGAAGATAATTTGCTCTTCATTAAACTAAAGAGGCTTAGCTTCCCTGATGTGTCAGATTCTTGTTTGCATTTCAAAGAAACTTGCTGAGAAGGTCATGTACTTTTGGCTCATTGTGCCTGTATATCAGTGGTGTACATGATTAGTTTTGAATAGTTGCTCTAGAAGTCTGTGACACAGAGCCACCAAGAGCTGAGGTCATTAGGCCACTAATTTTGCTGTTCCACTTGTTTCATTGTCCGTATATGAGGGAAGTCCTAGTGTCCCCTTTCTAAGTACCTTGACATATCTTCCCTCCATCACAGTTTTTTAATTATGATTCTCAGCATCCGTCAAAAAAAACAACCCAAACAGGTGTTCCTTGCAGAGCGATAGAATTAAAGATCATTACATAGATTACCAAGTCTTTCTATCAAGAAGCAGATACTGATTAATTTCAAATAAATGGCAAAATTTCATGTTAATTAGTGAAATGACAACTATTTATTGTCATGAAGACAAGCAGTTTCTGCATGTT